CCTTTTGAATTATGTTTTTTAACTCTGGTTTTGTACGAATTGGGGCCGATGGCCCATTGCTATGGAAACTGTGTCTTCTGCTCCAGTCAATTAAAATGTTGATTGAGTAACCTCTTTTAGTCTGCTGGGTTTTACTAGCACCATCCTGGGGCGCAACCCACCTGGTTTGGATCAGAGGGTCTGTCTGTGTCCAGAAGACAACCCCTGCCACCACCCCTCGGCCCAGAGCGGGGAGTAGGCAGGAATACTCGCTGTCTTCGGCAAGCTTCACTCATTTCTTACAGATTTTACCCCCTGGGAGCGGGGTTGTGGCTTTCCAGGGGCAGGGAAGGGTTTCTTGCTCTGAATAAATCGAGTGACTAACCCTGGTCCTCGCCCTTCCCCGCTGGCCAGCTGCTGTGGGCTGTGGGAAGGCAAACGTGACTGCGCATGCTGCCTGATTCCCCGGCCTCGCAGCCATCACCTCTGCCTTCCTAATTAGTCATATCCAGCTTCAATGAGCTTGTTTAGAAAGGCGGCCCCTCCCTGACAGAGGCTTCTTGAGGTTTTGCAAGGATTCCTCAGTAAAATAAATGGTTGCTCTTCTGCTGAGGTGGTGGCAGGGCAGTAACTGGGACTTTAACAGGGACTGGGCCGCTGCTTCCCAGCTTTGGTGGAGTTTTTCTTCCTCATTCGGTGATACACCGACCTCTTCCTCGCTGCTTGACTCTCCTCAGGCCGCGAGCTGGTGAGAGCTGCCCGTTGTGCTGGGGGAAAAATGGATTTCTGTGGAACGGAGGTGACCCAGCCATCGCTTCCCCCGCGTCTTCTCCGCTGGATGCCAACCTCTGAAAACTTCATGAGGTTTTGACTGCCGAGAAGGGCTCTGGTTTCTGGGCAGCCGGTCCCAGGGCTGTGACTGGCAGGAATCGCCTTGCTGGCTGCCGGGTTATTTACTCCTTTCAGCGTGTTGGGCTCTAAGGATTTGGGTTTTTTTTTTGCTGATGGGGGTGGGGGGAGAAAAAAGGAGATGTAATTTGCTTTCAGGGTTGCTCAGTGTGCCATGGTGCTGCCCTGTGATGGAGCTGGCTGGATTGCAAGAAGCATCCTCGGAGCTACCCGGGGCTTTGTTCGGCTCATCTGATTATTAAATATTCAGGTCAGGCGGTTCGCTGGTACCTGCTAGCAGCCGGGGAGCGGGAGAGCATCTGGAAGCAGCCGCCTTCTCTTCTTGCTCTCCAAAAAACGTGGTGAGAAAGCTGGGGTGAGGGGCGTCTTCTCCTCTGGTTTCAAATCTGAGCGGAGCAGGCCTGCGGCCGGAGTTGGTTCAGGAGCCGGGGAGGTGACGCGGGAGTGGATCTGGGGGTGGTCAGCGTGGTTGGCTGCCCTCCGGCTCTTTGCAGCCCTGGGTTTTCAGTTGCTAAGAGAAACAGATGAATATTTTTTAGAAAATGCTCCGGTGTCTGTGCCGAGGAGGAGCTTGGTCTCCCTGGGTGAGGGAACATCACAGTTTTACCTACCCACCTAGGGCAGACCGGGAAGGGAGAGGCTCAAACAACGGACGGGGCCGTCTTCTCACGCGGGAAGCTTCGCTGCTCTTCAGGTATTAAAAAAAACCCCCAACTTGTCTTGAAAATAGACTTTCTGAGGACAGGTGACCGAGCAGCACATCTTCAGCAGACCGTCCTCCCGCCGGAGGAATCGTTTCTCCTGGGAGATGAGGAGGAATACCGGGAACCCAGGATGCGTTTTTGATGGATCTACGGCGAGGAGCCCGCCAAAAAGGATTTGTTGAGGTCCCGGGGCTGGCTTTGCGAAGCCCAACGGCATTTCTAGGCCATGGGTTGAGGAAGGCTGAGCCCGAGGCGGTCGCTTTGTCCCTGTCACCCTTTCAGCGGCGTTTTTTGGATGGCAGACCCTTCGCCCACACAGACATGGGGCAGGAAAACGGTCCCGTTCCTCACCGCGGCGTTTGGTGGCATTTCCAGATGGCTTTGGACCGGGTGACGGCAGAGCTCGTTACAAATTCACTCCTCAAGCAGCCAGGATTCCCCCCTCCACTCGCCCCTCCTTTTCTTCTCCAAATTACTCAGCGCTCATCGTGCTGAATTAATCGTAACTGGCAATTTATCCTTTTGTAAATTAAATATTAGGGCAGGGTGCAGTCATTAGCAGTGACTAACAGCCCAGCAGATGCTCGTGGCATTCTGCTAAGGTGGCGAAGAACGCTGCCAAAGCGCGGTGTTTCCTGGTGGGTTCTCAAAAACACGTCGTCTGCTGGAGCTGCGGTGGCCGCTGGTCTTGAGGTCCGCCCGAGGGGTCCCTTGGGAGATGGGTGACCCAAGGAGCTATGAGCAGGCAAGGTGGGCACCCCGTACCTGCCCCGTGGGTGCTCAGGCGTCCCGAGGTTCCTCCAGAGTGGACACCCCTTGGCGTGGGGTCACCCCAAACTTCGGTGAACCTCGGAACTGCCAGCCCTGAGACCTCTCGGTGCGGAGATGTGGGCAGGGCAGCCCACGTGGGAGATGTGGAGCTGGAGCAGCTCCTCCGTGCTGGGTTTACACCTCTGCGAGGGCTTGGGTTCTTCTCTCGGTCCACGCCGGGCCGCGGGACGGAGTCCATCACCCCAAAACGAGCCCATCACCGGCGGGAGAGAGAGCTGGGCACCGAGAAGATCCCGGGAAGCGAAGCCTTGCAGCCATTTTGAATATTCTGTCCTGG